CCTCCCCCCCCCCCGCATGCCCGCGCATCCGTGACGCATCTCGCCTGCTCCCAATTCTCCCCCCCCTCCCCGCGATGCTACCGCAGCCGCCGTCACCGGCCCTTTCGCCGCGCGCGAGCGCGCCCCTCGCCGCGGCCTCGCGCATGAGCCCGTCGCTGTCGTCGGACCTGCCGGCGCGCGGCCGCTCGCTGTCGTACCAGGACCTGTCGCGCTGCTTCCACCTGCCCATTAACTCGGCCGCGCGCGAGCTGGGCGTGTGCGTCACCGCCCTCAAGAAGCAGTGCCGCCGCCACGGCGTCCCGCGCTGGCCGCACCGCAAGCTCAAGTCGCTCGACAAGCTCAAGGAGCGCCTGGAGAAGGAGGAGGCTACCGCCGCCGACAAGGAGTACTACAAGCACGAGATCCACTCCATCGTCCAGAAGAAGCACCACATCTTCCGCGCAACCCCCTCCTCGCGCGACCACCCCTCCGACTCACACCCCTCCGACCACCCAAACTCCTCCTCCCACTCCCTCGTCGACCCCCGCACCCACTCATCCTCGAGACCCCCGCACCCGTCCTTCTCGCATGAACACCCGCCGCCCCCGCACCACCCGCACACCCCCGTCCTCATGGTCTCCAACCCCCCGCCGCTGCCGCACCACCTCCCGCACTCGCTCCCGCCCCCGCAATCCCTCGCTCCCGTCCCGATTCCCATGTCTTCCGTTTCCTTTTGCGGCGCCATGGGCTGTGACTGTTGCGTCAATGGCGGCGTCTCATCCCAGGGCTACCATCTCCCTTTTGTCCGACAACCCATGCCCCCGGCTTCATCAAACTCCTCGCGCGCTCCCCAAAAACCCCAGCCCAATCCTTCCGGCCCCGTCCCGTCTCCCGGCCCCCCGCAATTCTACGGTATCCCTCCGTCCCAGTATCCCTACGTCTCATACCCGCCGCAGCCACCGCAGCCGCAACCGCAGCCGCAGCTGCAACCGCAGCCGCAGCCACAACCGCCGCAGCCCCCGTTTCACAACATGGTTCAGGTCAACGTCTTGGAGCAGCAGCCATACCCGCACCCAGTCATGGCCGCCCCGGGCCAGCCGCCGCAGGCAATCACCGCACCTCAGTCTGCCCAGGGCGTCGCTTCTGGTGGAAACGGTTCCCCGAATCTCATACAAGCTGGACCCATGCTCCCGCATTCCTCGGCTATGACCGCTCCCATCACAGCTGCCGTTCAGCAGCAGCAGCAGCCGCAGTCGCAGCCGCAGCCACAGTTTGAGGTCTATTCCGGTCAGGGCCCTCCGGGACAAGCACAGAACGGCTTTGTGTATGGCGGCTTTCCGGCTCAGGCCCCGATGCCAATGGACGGCATGGTGCAGGCGACACAGTCAAAACCCGCTACGCCTCAAATGGTCCCGTACTATTGGACCGAGTTGTCGCACTCTGCAAATCCAAACAACCTCGTCACTATGTACAATCAGACCACACACTATCATCATCATCACGCTGCTGAATCTGCTGCCAATGGCCATTCTGTTGCTGGCGGCATGGTCGACGGCACTGCGTCGTCGGCGACCAACAATAGTGACGCCGCCGACTGGCGCCGCAACGCGCTTCACATGCGTCCCAAGGACACCTCTGGAATGCCTGCAAACTCCACAGTTACAGGATCTCGAGTCACAGGGCCTCGGAAACAGGACACCTCAAGGGTCGCCATCCCGCCGCGCCCTACTAGCGCCCCCGCCGCAAGCTCGGCTGCGGCCGCAACGGCCGCGAAGCCCACTCCAACGAATAACACTAGCGCCAACAATAGAAATCCCACCTCCAACGGCATCGTGCGCAAAGACGGCAACGACCTGAACGCGGCCGGCAAGGATGTCATTACTGCAAAAGCAGCAAAGCATACCCCCAGAACGAACGGTCGTGTGGAAGAGGAGAAGACGGATTGCAAAAAGTCGTCGAGCGATACTCGAAACACGAGCACGCGCGTGTCGCGAAACGGACCGGGCAGGAGCGGCGCAAAGGATACTGATCGCACCGCAGTCTTGCCTACAAGCCCGAGAGACACTAATGGCGCAGTGTCGCGGCACGAATCTTCTAAACTGAATAGCCCCAAGCCGAGCAAGACAAGCGATGTCGTTCGAACACCAGAGCTGGATATCAGCAATCGTGGTCAGCCAAAGCATAGGGGACAAGCCCTCAAGCCTGTGATGCAGACCAAAAACGTCTCTCATCCAAAGTTGAGGACCGGAGCACCCTTTCGACATACTGGTCATGGTCATGATCGTCATGCTGCGCATGACCGCCGCAGGGTCACCGGCAAGAGCGTAACTTCGAGATCCCCGAACAAGCGACCGCGTCGAGCAATGGGGACGATGCATGGATGGGGACCGCTCTACATTTCGGCTGGAAACACCGGCCTGCCCCTGCCCTTGCATCATGAGCGCGAGGTAACAAGGCGCGTTCGAGAAATCACGCCTCCGTCAGACAGGGAGGAGTCGCCGGGAGACCCAGACACCGGGGAGGGATCAGGTTCCGGAAGCGGCACAGGGACCGGATCCGGTTCCGGAGATGGCACTGGATCTGGTTCAGGAGACGGATCGGGTTCCAGGTCGGGTGGAGGAAGTAGGGGGATCTGCGACGACAGAAGGGCAGTACAAGGAGAGAAGGGTGCCTTGAGTCGAGAGGCACGAGTACGGGGGAGAAAGCAAGAGCGGATGGATCCTCCGTCACCATCTACTGGTTCGATCGCAAAACGTCGAAAGAGCGGAAACGGGCATAGCGGAAACGGGCATATAGTGAACGCCTGGAGACTGGCGGGAGCCGTGGGTGGAGAGGACGGGGCGGGCACTGGACTTGTCGGGCCTGGGAGAGAGGGCGCGAGCTCAACAGCTGTACGAGCAAGACGATATGAGCAGGTCGTGCACCAGAGCGTTGCCCTCGGGTGTGCGCAATGGAGCGTGGACAAGAGCACACGACTGACGTCTAGCATGGGCTCCAAGGCGCTGTTGGGCGTACTCGGAGTATCTGGACTCGGCAGCGAAGGTGGGGCGGATACGGTAGAGGGAATGAGAGGGAGATACACTGCGGCATTGCGTGGTCAAAGAACGGAATGGATCGCTCGACAAGGAAAGAAGCGATTTTTGGTCGTGGTGGCCCCTTTTAAGAAGCGAGGATGCGCGGAAATTTCTGGGGCTTGTGGTGTGATCGTGGAGATGACGGGCAGTGCAGTTTCACGATGAGTACTGTGTGCGCGTATGTTCTAACCTTGTAAATAGAGGCATTTTGATTTTTGAAATTGTTGAGCCCATACTGTGTTCCGAATGCGTGTTCCCGCAGTGTTGCCGATCGGGACGTTGCCTCCGATATGACCTTTCGCTGCACTCTTCGCCAACGTTGATGAAAGAGAAGAGTAGAATTCCGACCTCGCTAATGACCATTCTCTCATCCCGTGCAGTCATTACTCTGTTCGGATAGAGAGTGACAGGAGCAACGCACCATTTCTTGCTTCACATTCGCCGGACGTCTAAAACAAACCAGGGTGCTTCTCAAACTCTTTCCAGTCGAATGGAATGATGTGCGTTTTGTGTCGATATTAACTCTACTTGTAGTACCCAAGGGTAGCTACAGAAGCTCCAGTGTTCAGACGATTGGAACAGGTACCTAATTATGAAACAAGACAAAAATGGCGTATTTTAACCAGAACTCAAGTTTACAGAAAATGCAGACATGCCTCTGTCCACCAAATGCCGGAACCACGTACAGTAGCCCATTTGATAGCGCAGACTGTAAGCTTTCCGTCCATACAAAAAAGGCGGACTTCTTCCTTGTTCCCCCAAAATACGGGCTTTCAAAGAAGTTGATGCACAAAAGCATGTATTCCCCAGCCACAAAAACCCGCCAGGTGCTTATCCCTTATTGTTCTACACCCTCTCACCTCTTCCACATACCGAACTTCCGTCTGAGACACCAACCAACGTAGGAATCGCGGAGAACCGGTCAGCACGCTCTCAACGCCTCAAACAGCAGGCCTTCATTGCGGTGCAAAAAGGCGGGGCGTCATTTCGCACTGGAGCTTTAAATTGCCGGATGGCATTGTCCACTTTTCACCGCCATTACCACGCACATTCCACTCAAACAATTTCCAATCCTGCTCCCAGGCAGGGACGCCGACCCGCACTAAGGGGTGAGGAAGAAAACATTATTGTCGAAACTCTCGTAAAGTACGCACGACGTGGGTACCCCCTTTCGCGAGAAGACCTCTTAGACTGCGTTGAACTATTCTGTCAAACTTTTAGAGTGGAACGGAGAGCAGCTCTGCCGTTTTTGAACGGTCGTCCTTCGAAAAAATATGCCAGCGGCTTCGAGGCTCATCACAAAAACAGGATCAAGTTCGGAAGAGTGTCCGGCCAAGACAGCAAACGATTTTGCTCTACAAACGCAAACAACTTGACAACCTACTTTGTTGAGATCGAAGCTGTCATAAAAAATAACAACATTGACCCACAAATACTGGCAAACCAGGACGAATCTGGATTCAGTCCAGATAGGAACAGGATAGGGTCGAACAAACGGACTCACTATGGCACGCGCTCTACAAAGCTTGAGAGCAAGCTTCCTGAGTTTGCCTACAAAAACCGGATAACGTTGATGCCGATTGTTTTTGCGGATGGAAGCTACGCCGAACCAGTCTTTATTTTCAAAGGTAAAAAGCTACAGTATCGAGTCATTAAAAAATACGGACTCGAGATGATTGAGACAATTGCAGACTGCTTACCGCGACTCAGCCGTGTTTTTACGCGTGAGGAAGGGGGAGGAGTAGACAAGCAAGTGTTTGTGAACTGGGCAAGGCTTTTCGTAGATGAGGTTGCAGACTTCACTCGTGACGGCCGCAGGGTATTGCTTCTGTACGACGGTTACAGAAGCCATATGTCTTATGAAGCCCTAAAAGTCCTCGATGATGGGAATGTGATTGCCTTTTCAATACCAGCACACACAAGTGGCACCACACAGCCACTTGATGTGGGCGTGTTTGGTCCATTTAAAGCAACAACCAACCATTTATTGAATGAGATGTCCCCTACATTAGAGAAAATGTATTCGACGTCTTTGATCTTTGCAAAATAATGAGAGAAGCATACTGTCTTTCCTTTACAATGCGAAATATCACTCAGGCGTTTGCTAAATGTGGTTTGTGTCCGCTAGATCCCGGAAGGGTGTTAGGCACGTCGAGGCCATTATCCGAAAGCTGTCCATCGGTTTTTAAGAATGCAGATGAGATGGCCATAATGTTGGAGGAGAGGAGGGAGAAGAGGAGGGAAAGACAGGGAGTATTACCCGTGGTTTTTAAAAGGGGGTTTGTGGACACGAGGGCAGGCTTGCAGTTGACATCACCGGATGTCATGCGTGCAATTTTATTCAAGGAGGACATGGAAAGGGGGAGGAGAGAGGCGAAGTATGTGAAGTCAGTGACGAGTGAGGCCAAGTTTGTTATTGAATCACGCCGTAGGCGTGCAGATCGTCCTCAATTGGAACACCGCGCTGCACTGTTGCGCTCATCACTGTACGATGAGCCATACAACATGCCACGACCTCTGAAGGTTCGTCGCAAAATTTCCGCAGAGCGGACAGTGTTGAATAAGGCTTCACGTATTGGAATGTGTAATTTGACAGATGAGGAGCAGCGTCGTCATCCGATTAATAATCTGTCGGTTGATCAGTGGGAGCTTGAAGCTAATGGAGAGATTTGATAGACTTTTTGCTTCAAATAAATGATCGTGTATGACGGTTTTCATGCGCTGTGTTCCACTATTAGGGACATTTCCGGCGTATTTGATGTTTTTGTGGATATGTGGCAGAAAATACTTCTGTTTGTCGTCATTTCCTGTTATTTGTTGCTGCCCGTGAAACGGCTGTATGATGCCGAGGGCAAAAAGAATTGGTTCAAAAGAGTGACCAGAAGGAGATTTTCCATTTAAATTTGTATTTTGTTCCATTCTTAGGGCCACCTTCTTGTACAGGGGGTCCCAGGCAATAGTGCTATATCGGAGCTATATCGGAACAGACCTCGACATATGGCACTATTGCGTGAATGGCACTACTGAAAGCACCAAACGCAATCATTTACATACAGTTGTGTCCTGTTTGAAGCGAGCGATTAGAGACGTAAGGCTTTGAAGGGGAATTCTAATGTACCTCTCAACAGGCGACAGCTGCGAACGTCCCTGCCTCCCCCTGTCCGCTTTCTCCTCCCTTGCACCCGCTCTAACCCTCTACCCCTGCGACGCCCCGCCCAGATCTTCTCTGTTAAAGTCAAACAGCAGATCCCGTGCCCGCTGTAGGTGATGGGACGCTACGTGCTGTACGACATGTGCAGCGGGACCGACCTGCGCCTCCCAGCGTCCAGCCCGCGCGTCGCGCTGGCCAAGGGCTTCATGGATGCGAGGCGATGCGTCGAAGCCGTCCGCCAGCGCCTGCTCGGGCCGCTGGGGGCGTAACGCCTCTGGCGCGCCGCCGCAGCCATGTGCCCAGCTGGTCGCCTGTGCTGCGTTGTGTGTCCGAGGTGCGGCGTGTGGTCACGTTGCGCGAAGGGAGAAGGTCGCCGAGGAATTCATATTCGCGAAGCTTGGCCCTCAATGTAGCAATACCCGCTGCGACGCCTGCAATGCCAACACTACCGGCCTCGCTATGGAGGGCGACAGAGCGCAAGCCATGTCTCTTGACAAATTTGTCTGTCCATCTGCGTGAAGCAGAAAACTGACGGAGCGCACATGCTTGTGACTCAGGTAGATCTTTACGTAATAATTTGTCTCGCAAGTATATTGCTTTTGCCGCAATAATATTATGCGTGACGGACATTTTGGCGGAACGGGCAAGAGATATGAAGGACATAATGCCGGATTCCAGTACAGGGAATGGGGTCTCCCTCACAGTCTTTGCTAGCAATAGTTGTTACAGTGCGCCGCGAGACCGAATATTTCTTCATGATGTGGTGGAGGAGTGTCCGATTTTGAGTAGGCGACCGGCCTCAATTTTTTCATTAAGGGTGAGTCGTATGCGAGAAGTTCGAGAGGAATTGAGATGCGAGGGTGGTTCTTGAGTGGGAGGTCCCATAACGGTTCAAAAGTTGTTTTCAATGTGTCTCTCAGCAAGCCATACAATGGGGTTTCGCTTAGGGGCGTTCTAGGTGTTTTGGAAAGTCGGAAATTTGGAAATCGGAAATTGTACAGCAGGGCACCGATTTCCAATTTCCATCTTGGATCTGGTCCAAAACATTTTAGAAACTTTTTACGGACACCCAATCATGTCGCACTCAAGTGGGGAGTATTAGGTTATAGGCTAGGCGTGCTCGTACAGTGTCGTTCCTTGCTTGATTAACGTACCATGCGTGCTCCGTTTCGCCGTTGTCTGGCTCGGCGGGCTTTCCCGATGCCCATACTATCAAAGATCGAAAAGCGAAGGCCCACCAGAGAGACAATGCAAGTTTTACTGTCTGCAGTCGTGCAAGCGACCATGAGATGCTGTGTTTTCCGTCAACAAGAGATTACAAACACACGAGAAAACTTTATTCTCAATGCACCTCTGGCAACTATTGGTGAAGATCTTTTCATAAGATTGTACAGGCTGTCACCGCACCAGTTTATTCCCTTAGTTCGAGTCGACGTAATTGGATCTACGCCTCCGCCGCACAGCGCTCGTTGAGCACGCCCAAGGGATGGGATACAATGCTTTGTATTACTATGCGAATTTTGGCAGGGGAAGCTATCTGGTCACGGGATGGCCTTACGGCGTGGCAACGTCTACCACATATATATATTTTTCATGAGACAATACAAGCGCTTAACAAAGTGCTTGCTCCAATTGAGTTTCCAGTATCAGAAACAGATTGCAGTAACGCAGCACGACAATTCCAACTACTACGCAATTCTCCCTTAGAAGGCATTATAGCAGCTCTAGATGGTATTGCAATGAAAATACGCCAGCCTACGTTGAACGACACGCCCGACCCTCGAAAATACTTCAACCGCAAGAGGTTCTATGCTTTGTGCGTGCAAGCTGCTGTTGCCGCAAACTACAAGTTTGTATTTGTGTCTGCTCGCTATGCCGGAAGTACAAATGATTCAACTGCCTTTCAAGCCACGTTACTGCACTCTGTGGTCAAAAATGGTAATCTGCCCTCATGAGCACGAATTGCTGCAGATGACGCGTATGCCAACAGTCGGCATGTTCTGACACCATACGGCGGATTTGGTTTATCGCAGAGACAAGATGCGTTTAACTTTTATTTGTCGTCCTGTAGGATAACGGTCGAACAGGCCTTTGGCTTGTTGGTTTCTCGCTTTGGCATTTTTTGGTCTCCCTGCGATTTTCAGTGGCAAGCAGCACACTTATTGTTGTTGTTTGCTGCAAGATTCACAATTATTTACTGGATACAAATGATCAAACCTA